TATATATTATTAGTCAGCTTTGGCACTCTGTTTCCTTTCTGCGAACTCGATGCTTAGTATTTTCGTCATATGTAGTGACAACGCATGGGTTGTCATTAAACTGTATTCGAGTTCCACAAGTCAAGTTACCCAACTATGCCAGTAGTCTAACATGCAGGTTACAAGTCTGGTTTCCCGTTCTTGAGCTCATGTCATATATTCTAGGTTATCATCTACAATGGAAGTGATGGCTAACTTTGTCGCCGTCCACCTCACTATAATACAAAATGGCCTTTAAGACCATTGCGGTGGTCAAATTTTCGAGACTTCAGAAACCCCTCTTCTGGAGTACTTCTGGAGTCTGAGAAAAGCAGGCTTTTATGTTTATTCGGTCTTCATTTGTTCCAGTCGTCCCCACCAGGGGTCAGCTCCAGGTAGGTTGAGTCCGGCACTGCCTGCCTGAGCCCCAGCCTGCATCGGTGGCAGTGCTGGAAGGCCGAATCCACCGGCCATGCCACTCATACTCGGCAAAGGACCGCCACCTCCATACATGCCGGGATCGGCTGGAGGGTGTTGCAAGCCGGCAAAAGGTTCCGTTGGAGCAGCCTGGTAAAATGCTCCAGGCTTTGAGAACCCAGGCAAGGGTGGTGCTTGTGGGTCGTATGCCGCACTTGTTGGGGGGTAACCAGGAACAAGATGACCGGGATATGAGCCAACTGGTAAATTCAAGATGTTGAGACTTCCGCTTGATGCCGAAGGCTCCTGCTGACCTTCGAAGTGTCGCGGGGACTGGGGAAAGCCATGACTGGCCGACTTGGGGCTAGCGAAAGACCCCTGAAGCGTATAGCCGGGAACGGGAGATTGGCCGGCATGCGGGGTCTGCCTACCAATACTGAGACTGCTAGGCGGACGATCCGACGCCTCGGAGGCCTTCGCTGCCATGTCGGTGGCCGGGCTATGGGGAGGTGGCCCCGTCCGGGGATCCTGGCCCTGGTCGGAGGGCTCCAGCTTGACCGCGGGGTTCAGTAAATGGCTCTGACCCGGACCGCTAGAGCCCCCCCACTCGGGCTGGGACCCGGAACCGGCAGCTGGGTAGAAAGGTGAGCCGTCAGGTGCGGCGCCGGTAGGCGTTGTTGGGGTTTGTGCCGGCGAGCGGAACCCGTCCTGCGAATTCTGCTCGGGCTCCTTCTGCGATGCACGTTGTTGAATCAATGACTTAAGGCGCGAATTCATCAACTGATGCCGCTGCTGGCTAAAGCCTTCTTGGGGGCCCTGGCCAGGCTGGAAACCGATACTGCCAGGAGACGCTGACGCGGGAGACATGGGTGTTCCAGATGTAACCATCGATGGGTGGCTATACGCGGGGGGCGCGGGTGCGCTGGCATATTGGTTGGGATCATTAAACAAGCCCGGCTGACCCGGTTGACCAGGGGGGGCAAACGTCGGTGGTTGGGGCGGCGCGCCGGGTGTTGCATACCCAGCAGACATCTGCCAAGAAAACAAAAACTGTCAAATAAGAATAATAATAATAAATGCATGGCGAAATCCTAACAAATAAACAGAGGCACATAATAACTATGAAGCAAGTATATGCTTTGTATTGCTATTCGGTTTATAAAGTCAACTTGGCATAACATATATCAATGTGTATTTTAGAATTTAAAATGTTCAGCTATAGTGTATATATTTTCTCTACATGATTTTTAAGTACGATCACTTGGGCTCCAAGGTGAGGCCTAACTATGAATATAATGTTTGCCAAAAGGAGATGCGGATTTTCCTTTTATATCATCAGCCGGACATTCTTGGCTAAACACATTACGTGAAGGTTGCGAATCAAACGAAGTTCGGGCACTCACACCAGGAATTATACAACTTAAATATGCTTGTATTACCTATCGTTACTTACATGAGGAGGGGGCATCGAGGAATCATGAGGCGCGTACATGCTTCCAGCGGGCGCACCCAAAACGCTGAACTGAGGCTTTACATCCGGTGTCAGCTGAAGTCAGCAAAATAGCAAGGAATAAGCTAATCAGATATTGCATACTCAGCATTTGTGAATGAAATGAAAATGAGTAATGATACCAAATAATTGTACGATTCGTGTTTATTGTGGCAGGCATATTGGGCAGCCATATTTTTTGCCACTTACTTATGAAACAGAATCATAAAATTTTACCATGTGTAGTAAATATATACAGTGTGCATTGCTCTGAGTAACCGAACAACGAAAGACAGCAGAAATAAGGATTATCAAAACGAATTCCATTTTTTTTTTCACCATTTGTGAAGTATACCATGTTAAGAGAAACTTTGTTCAAAGAACTGAAACCTCTGAGCACTACAACGTTCATTTAATTTATCGAATTAATCGTATTTTTCAAGTTGCTCTATGTTTTTGCTCGAATTGATATCCGTCATTAACATGCAAAACGATATTACCTGATGAGTGTTTTTGTTCTCGTCAGGAGTCGCGCGTTGCCTTTTTGCGGGCGGACCTTGTTGATTTCCTGAATTTCCCGTTTCGCCTTCCTGCTAATGAATTTAAAGGAAACGCGAAGAAATTCGTGCAGGTCAGTTGATGTCGTGTGCATAAACACTATTTTTTTTTACCTCAATCTTCAGCACTATATCCTTACTGTGTTTATTCTCTACAGATTTGTCCCGTCTTATTCTTACACAACGATTTTGAACTTAGCGTGCTAAATGCTCCGAATGTAGGTTGGTTTAGGCTCTGATGGCCTAAATTGCAGGTTAGTGATTTGGAGTACAAGAAAAAGAATATAGTCCGTCAAGTGAAAGGCCTCTGAAATTGAACAACGACGACCTATGTTGCTAATCATAATCGACATCTCGAAAAAAAAATTAGAATAATAGAAACAAAAATATAAGCGCTTCGAGTCTGAGCTTCACTCTGTTTACGTCGTTCTGGCTGCTCTGGTGTACTAATACATTATACGATATTATCGACAACCCGCCAATATACGTTCTAGTAGTATCAATCGATAACATCAATATTTCCGCTGTCGAATAACTCATAGTCAAGATACACGCTAGATATGGCGATGTCCGCTGTAATAATTACGAACATCAATCGTCAATGATGTGAGCGATACATTTGGCTATGTAGATCAAAAAGCAGATCAAAGGTGGTCGTGCGGGTTGCTCCACGTCGTCTTTTTCTCGTTGTCTTTCATCCTCATCACTATCGCGGACATGAATGTTTACGGCGGTGGCTAAATAAAAGGAGGACGATGCATGGGGACGTTGGAAAAGTCAAATTCTAGCCAAACACTTCGCCTTTCTTCCCTTTGATTTCCTATTTTGTTTGCTTCACACTTCATTCCAAACCTCTTTCCTATATTTCGTTCTCTATATTCTCCTATAATTCTCTATATTTCGTTTGACGTTATTTCCTTTTCTTGGACTTTTCCCGTTTCCATCTTTGTTTCTCCGTTAGTTCGTACCCAATCGTTTCCCCTTTTTGCGTATGTTTGCGTGAGTCATGCGAAAAGGCGTGTTTATACGTCGTATGTATGAACAATTGGTAGTGTATGTGTCGATCTGTGTGTGTATATACAACAGGATATAGTATCTCTTTTTGTCCGTTGCTTCGCTGCTTCATAGACGTCTTTCGCTCTCATTCCGTTCTATTTTGAGTCCGCCACCCTTTCGGCCTGACGGTATTTAGCCGTCCAACGTCTTCATGTTACCTGTTCACTGCTTCTGCGGCTTCCGCTACTTCGACTACTACCATTGTCAATATTACTCTTTTTCTTTCATTCTGACCACTTTTGCTGATACCAGACTTTTCGTCCATTATCTTTTTTTAATCCTTTTTATCTATATATACGCGTATATATGTATATACATACGCTTATACGATAACATATATATATATATATATATATATATATATATGTTATCGTAGAAGAATCGTATTTGGTGCGCGGAAGGGTGAGAAAGTGAATCTTTCTTTCATTGTGGAACAAACGAAAATTCAGAAGAGGAAAGCAGATATCTGTTACTGACACGTTTGCCTTTTGTTGTTGCTTTTCTGTTTTCCATCGCTCCCTTGTCAGTAATTTAGTCTTTTAGATATAAGTAAATACCAGTGTCTGCACATATCATGCATCTTCCGTTTTCAAATAGTTACAACATCAATATTATCAATTATATACTTGGATAACAAACACAATTACTTGACAGTGATTATATGACCCTACTAGATACTGGCACATGATAAGCCATGATCATGTTTCATTCTATTTCTTTTCGTCTTTTTTTAGTTCATGTCCACATCCTTCATCTTTTTATGAATATATCATTTGAAGCCCGATTCTGTATTGGCTGATAGTAGCAGACAGTAACACAGAATCGGAAGTTCATGTCCTTGCATAAGTCATATATATATATATATATATATATATATATATGAAGTATAGAGAAGAGTATAGTGGCTGCACGACAATGGTTCCTAGCCGGCCGGCAGCTCAATGTCAGCCCCCAATAATTCAATCCGCTTTATATATGGATGTGTGTTCGGATGTATTATTCTTATTGCTGAATTGCACACGGAGTGCCATTCTTTCAATGCGACACGCGCACACACACAAGCAGACAGACGCACCCAGCAGGAACGACCGACCGACGAATGAACGAATGAACCAGTCGACCGACCAATATCATCATCATCACAATCAGGGCCAAACTGCCACACTGCTAGCGTCACCAGCACCACCCCACCGAGCCGAAAGAGGCTGTCGTTATCGGACGACAAACCGTCCCTCCTTAGGTTTGTCTCCCAGTCGCACGATGGCGCCACCGACGCTCACAAATTTCATATACCCTCCCCACCAGCACCACCCCGGCCCGTTGTGTCTCCCGTCTCGGGCACCCGTTTCGCCTGGCGGCTGCCTAACACAGCACAGACACGATTTCACTGCCCGTAGTACGCTTACTTACAGCGGCGATACACACAGACACACACAGCGAAGCATAGATCGCACGGCACACACACGCTCAATACGCAACATCCCCAACCCGATCCCAGCATCCCCAATACAACAACAACAACAACAGACCAGCCGGTGGCAGGCAACCGGCGACTGTCAGCGAGCTATATCGATATATCGAGGTTTCGGAGTTTTGTACTCAGGAGTTGCAGCAGCAAGCAGGAATTGTAGTGACGGCAGCAATGGCGGCGGCGGTGGTCGTAGAGTGCAAGTCAGAGCGGTGCGTTGCAGTGCAGCATAGCTCTGCTAGCGTGATTTTGTGTCTTGGGGGAAATTAGGGGAACTGGGAGTAGGGGTTCAGCTCGCGCAAATCGAAGGAAAGAGAGAGAAAGTAAAAAAGATAGATGATAGAAATTGAGCAGCGAACGAAGCTATAATAAAAGTACTGGTAGCAGTAGACGAAGAACTCTAATAGCGACAAATCATCGTGCGGCAGCCAAAAACCAGAGACTGGGAGGACAACACAACTACGATTTCTGCCAAACGAATGTCGGCCAGCTCATGACATCTCCATGGCACAACGGAACGACATCGTTTATTACGTCGGAGATCGTCAATGGTATATGTGTACTCTTGGTAGGGTTTTACCATCGCACAATATTCTTCCATTCTCTAGATATCTTGCTCCAGTCAATCAATACACGATTGAATAGAATTATCTGCTACACATTTGTATCATTCATGAATTGGTTATTATTGCAATAAACAACCATCTTTCTTTGTTATGCGCTGATGTAAAACAACAGGGCTGTAGACGTGCTCTCTTAGAAACGATAATGGTCTTTTACCAGACAGTCATCATCTAATGTTAGTGTGACAAAGTACCCTGAAAAAAGTATGTGTGAAAGTATATGTATAAGCAATTTTCAGTTGTCCTCTACACTCTTTCGGTACACTATTCAAAGTCATTTGAGTTTATCTCGGCAAAAGTGGCGCTATAAGATACGCATGCCATGATTTAGAGTGGTGATATTACATTGCTATAGTTTGGTATTAGTGCGTTGGGAAGCCTTGTTTGCTTGCGTGATAGGTAGATGCTGGACACAGACACACAGCCTTAGCGCCTTGGCAGCTCCAACTCTGAGCTCACTTCCGAGTGTCATGCTTTTTTCTCAAAATATATTTGTAAATAGCTTAGAAATATATATATATATATATATATATATATATATATATGAAGGCTTACGACCTGTGTGGTTTCTTAGCTTGTCTGTTATATAAAATATTCGGCTTGATTTCATCGAGCGTCCTGTTAGTGTGGTATAATCACGGAAGAGACGAAAAAAAGATAAATTCGAAGCAGAACTGCACGAGTATTAAGATCGACTCCCATAGGACACGATATTTGCCTCCATGATGGCGTAGTAGATTTCATGTTCGCTTACTGAATTAATTGGTAATTTAGATTCTAATCAATAATTTGTTTTGTACGAAAACAGCCGTTTGAATTGGCACAAAGATACTTACTTGACTATTTGCTCTCGCGTTCTTCGCGTTCCCCTTGGACTTCGTTCCTTCAGATTTCTTCTGGCGAGGTTGAGCCGGTGTCTGAAATGCAGCGCGAAATAACATTGTTAGAACGCAATATTTTCATTCATCTGCATCCTTAATGGTATCAACGGAATTCTTCCATAATTAGTGCCGCAAGAAAACTGCAGGCAGAGTTTAGCTGCTTAACGTACTTACAACTTGATAGATTCTCCTTGAAAGGATTTTAGTAAATGTCTTGTCGAATTTGACTGTTCTTTATATCATGCACTGGCACGTCAACTAGCATGATGGCTAGTTTTAGACCAGCAAATCGTAACAAATATCGTACATCATTACTTAATGCTGATCCCCTAGTGACAACAACAGCAGTACTGGCCTCAGTAGCATATGATCATCGCACTATAGCACTTTCTTTAAAATAGTGAAAAGAATCATCGTTATTTCTGGCGGTATCGTTGCAAGGGGATGAGGACGAAAATGGAGTATGCGGAGGGACGCACTTGCTGGAGGAACGGGGAAACAAATAATTAACTAACCACCGCCCAATAGTAGCAGTACTAACAGTAGGATAAGGCGGTTACTGCTGATAGTGCAAACGGAGTTGGGGCGTTCTGTCTGTAGCCGTCGTCATCGTTACTGTCGCCCGTGCAGTGGTTCGCACTGCCCTGCTTAGTGGTTTCTATCTGTCGAAACAAAGAGTTTCTTCTCCAATGACGATCTCTGGCTGCCATTCGAAGAGTCCGTTGCTGCGGAGGCCTCTGCCACAGTCTCTGCAGTGGCTTTTGGCTCGGACACATGCTACTGCCACTGCTCTGAGTAGGCACGACCGTGTGTTTGCTTCCGCTGCCGCCGTTATAGTGATAGCTGACTTAACCCTGCTGTCACAGAGGCGTCAAATTTGGCCACGACTTTTTTTCGCGATGCTTAGAAGAAGTCGAGTTGTCTGGACCCTCTCACTGATCGAGCGATCAGCTGAAAAACGTTACTTCGTTTTTCCTTGCCTTGCCTTGAGAAAATTACTGATTGAGTGGGTAACAGATGATGAAGAAGTCCTGCTGCTGGCGTCGAACGAACTAGAGGAATAGCTATTATGGTATAGAGTATATTGTGCATTGGCTGATACAGACACGAACGCGTAAGCAGGCCAGGACCGGGTACTATTGCGTGCTTGCCTAGTCATTTGTTTACCAATGTGGACAGTAGATGCTCATGTGGTTAGCTAGCCCCAGGCCGGGGGTTCCATGAGCATATCGTATGACCTCGATCTCTGCCCCCATGTCTACGGTGGCCTTGAATAACGGCCGGAGGTTGTCATAGTTGTGTAGCAGAAACAAGAAAAAGGTTACTTCGGCATTTATTCGCAGTCACATTAGTTATTGATTGACAATGTGTGTGTATTGTATGCACGCACGTGTACCCACATATATATATATATATATATATATATATATATAGATATATATGTATATTTGAAAAACGACTTATGAAGCAAAACAGACTGGTTTGTAAGCTTTTTTTGACCATTATGTATTTAGATTAGATTTATATATTACGGTCCCGCTGTTATCAGACGAAGATGACCGAAGCTGTAAATACACGCACTTGAAATCTTACGAGCTCGATCTCCAGAATCGGCAATTTAAGCTGGATATGTCTGCATGCGTTCGTTTGTACGTGTACGTATGCCACAGTAGCGTAGCCTTCTTTATTCTGTGATGATGACGCTTGCTGTTTATTATATGTTCCCATCTAAGGAAACGCCTAGATAATACGATAATGCGCTTGCGTATAATACTGATGTCTCAATGGAACAGGGGTACTGATTAAGTTGTACGCATGCACTCGTTGCGTTCGTGCTGTGGCTAATGGTGACCTGTGCGCATAATAGGACCTGTACTTTGGCTATAGGAAAGGCGAAAACCACAGGCTGAAATTTCCAATGGTCGGTTATTGCTATCCCAGTTTCTTTTCCTACGGAACTAACACAACCAGTCATATTACTCGCGGAGAGGCAGCACTACTAGTACTAGTACCTATAGTAGTAATACAGTTGTAAATAGATGCTCACAATGATTAATGAATGTTTTTTTTTTTTTCTTTTTTTTTTTTTTTTGGCAATCATTCTCTTTCATCGCGGGCAACTGCTGCGAGGTTCCAGTTAGCAAATATAAAAAAAACAGTAGCTCTTAACTGACATTCGTTGATTCAAAGGCTTTGTTTGTTACACACACATACTGTTATTTCGGTCTATACACGAGCGCTTGTGTGGTTCCATGTTTACACTGCTATTACATTATTATAATTATCACCATATATTAGCGCATATAAACGTGCATAGGATACGTCGATAATATGGACTTACATGTACCAGCTTTTGACTGAGTAGGCTTAATAACTTCGAGATAAAAGAAAACGAATTTTAATGCTTGGGTATAGGTGATAAGCAAATTGCCTAGATTCTAAGAACAACTGCTTAGGTTTGTTCTGGGCACTGAACCAGGGCTTCGATTTCACCGGCCTGACGGAGGCCTGATCGATCGGTCATTACTCATTACAGCTCTTCTGGAGTCCAGCGGGCAACGAAACAACGGGGATAAGGATGAGAGGAGATCCGTGCTAGGATCATAGCAGAATCGAGTTTAGCTTCCAGCCAAAACACCAGGAGAGCACACAAATGATGCCGCTTTCTGGCTTCACCATGTAGTTATGCATGAGAATATTATCATAAAACTCATTTAAGAAACAACGAATTACGATCTAGTTTGGAACGGCTGTGTAACAGCCTGATACTGAACTGTAGCACATCCTGCTTCACCCGCCAGACCAGCCGATAGTCACATGCTTCAACGAAGTTAGGCAGCAGGCTAACTGAGCTCTCTGTACGGAACTGATATCAGCCCATTTTGCCGGTGAAGTAAATCCCAAAGTCAGTAAGACAGCTTTACTATATACTATACAATGTATGTGTTCGACATTTGGTGTTGTTGCAAGCCATCAAGCAAGCGTTATGACGCCGATCGTCGGTCAACGCGAGTGTAAGCTCAAAGCGTCGTAGCTCAAATTGGCCTAGCTATAGCACTCTGGTGGCACACAGTGATGTTACTCCTGCTCGAGCTACGACGAGTGATCTAGAGCTTAAGCTCTAGATCACTCGTCGTAGCTCCTTCCTTCGGCATCTTGTCTCTCCCGGGTCATTCGCACGAGAGCAGCCGTACCAGCTGGCATCAGTGTCTTACACACTTGCACACACACAGAGAGATAGATACACACACGCAGGCTCTCTCTTTTTCCATGTAGTCGGAGTCTTTGCGCCGACTTCGATTTCAGCCGATCAAAAGGAGACTGCAGCCGATATAGCAGGTAAAACAGCGACATCCGGCAGCTGATCTTACTGCTAGCTAGCAAGCTGGCTAGATACTACGAGCAGCGTGACTGTCTGTCTGCCTAGTTTGCTTGCTCGGATTGCTCCTGACGATGATGGCGACGAAAACGACAGCAGCGGCAGTAACAACGACACCAACTGCGACAGTCAGCGCCAAAAGCGATATCGCGAGGCCGCAAGATAAAAAGACCATTCTTTCAATTTCCGCGCCCGACCTCTCCCCCCGCGAAAATTGCATTAGCAATACAGTAACCGGCGCGATTCGTTCGACGAGTACGTACATTGACTTCAAGCTGTACCATAGAAGAGAATGTATGTACGGACCTTCATGTAACATACAAGTCAAAAATTCGGTTAGCTTCTTCTATCCCAGTTTGTGTTAGCCTCTTTATTCGGGCTACAGTTGGAGGAACTACGGTTTCACTTTTACTTTTCAAAATCGTTTGTTGATGGCTTCTGTGTACGGTCGCCGAGGTACTGATAGCAAAGAAACGGCATCGCTGACAATTAGATCAATCAATAAGAAAACGCCATTCACTATACTAATAACTAATGATGAGCAAAGGGGCACTTCGAACGCAGTGAGCAGTGAAGAAGCAGGGCAAGACGGTATTGGGCAGATTAGGAAACCTGCTCATGTCACATCCGCTTCGTGCTTCTGATCTTATTGCTCCCTGCTTATCCGGAATGCACTATTTTTGGCGAATGTCATAGTTTTAAAGATTATAAAGATATATGAATATAAAGGTAAGCGTTTACTGGATGATGGTTGTTCGCAATGCTAGTTTTGTAACAATACCTCAACAACCCTAGCCACATAATAGATATGTGAAACTATTGGCGATTCTGAGCACAAATGAGAAGGTTGTCGTCTTCAATCGTTTGAACGGAGACTGTTCGCGCCCTCTCAAAATCGGGAAAGGTTTTCCCTCTTTTTAACGTCATAACAACATCAAAGACCGCAGCAGCAGCAGCAGCAAGAACATTTCCATTGTCGTCGTCGTCGTCGTCATCATCTCATCATGTCTATTTCATTCTTATGGCAAACACAACAAAAAAGGAGCAACGACAATACTACTACTATTACCATGTACTATTATTATTATTATGATGACATGTACCACGAATAGCGCTGGCACCAGCAGTAGTGGCACCGTTGCTCGGGTGCTGTGGCTTCATTCATTCGTTCGTTCGTTCGCTTGCTTGCTCGCTCGCTCGTTCGCTCAAATCAGCAGTAGCAGCAGCAGCAGCAGCAGCAGCATGATTGCAGTACGACATTGCTATTGTTAGTACTGCTGCTGCTGCTGCCGCCGCAATGGCTCGTCAGTAGCGTCGACATCGGACTGCATTCAAACAAACGAACGAACGAACAAACAACTGAACGAACGGGCTATGCCATCGCCGGTTGGCCGGCCGTTCCTGGTTAGGGCGCTTTAATTCATTTGCTGATCTCCGCAGACTCTTCGTTGTACGTCTATGCGATAGCCATGATGAACGGTGGTGGGGTGGGCGCCGGTCTTAAGCGGGACCGCACGAGGCTTTGGCCCGGCGTCCCTACAGAAGAACACCGTTTGTTCGTCCGCCAGTTCAGTCGTGTCTCTACGATGAACAGCGGCAAGCATGCGTCCTCTACGGGTTATTGCGTATAGCACCCTGGTAGCGGGCCGCTTGGCTGTTTCTTTGCTGCCTGCTCCCCTGGCCGATGTCTGGGGGCAGGAAGTGAAGAAAAACGAGGGAAAGAGCGAGAGACAGGGTGGGGTGGTATAAGGAGCAATGGTGTGCGTGTGGGGCCGTTAGCAGGGCCACATCTCGACGGTCGGAGGCAACGTCGGGCTAACCATAAGGCTGGGGAGGAATGAAGACAAGGGAAATGAGAGAGGGGCAACGAGCCGGCAGTGCCGCCGGCAGTGCCACCGGCGGCGGCAGTGACGGCGGCGAAACAGAATGAAGCTGGAGGCAAAAAGGGAGAAAGGGGGCAAATGGGTGGCGGGCTAAGGTGGGGTGAATTGGCGGAAGAGAGGCGACAATGTGGCGTTAGTACAGCACTTGGAGAGGAGCGCTAAAGGGGTTTGGGATGCAGCGGATTGGGGTATAAGGAAGGCGGGGGCAACAGCGGTGTTCCATTTATGCCTGCGCCCGTCCTGCTTATAGTGCCTCTTACGTCCCCCTCCCCTTCTTCGTCTTTTTCGCACACAGACGCACACATACAGCCGATCGTGCGCTCCGCTTCGCACGACTCAGGGTTGGTGCTTCGATGTTGGTGTGGCGGTGCTGTTGCTGGAGATTCGCTGGCTGTGCGCTGGCCGGCATTGCGCATGCGCCTCTTCTCGAACATCGCCGCCACTATCGCCACCGCCATCACCAGCGCGCAATGAACGAAACGAGCGAACGACGGAACTGGGGCGAAGCTCTGAGCGTCTCTCTCTCCCCTGGTGCCCGTTGTCGCTCTGTGCAGTTCGCCTGGTGACTCGTCGCCAGCGCCACGATTTCCACTGCCACCGCACCGCTGGCAACACAGCAGCCAGCAGCGCCGGGAGCCCTCGTTGTTTGGCTTGCTTGCTTGCTTGCTTGCTCGCTCGCTCGCTCGCTCGCTCGCTCGATCGTTCGTTCGCTCGCTCGCTCGCTCACCAAATTGGGCTTGCGCTCTGTCCCGCTTGCTTTGCATCAACTTCTCTCCGTACACCCCTCTCCCTGCCTCCCTTCCCATACCGCTCTCCTTCTCTTGCTGTCGTCCTACAGCCGGTTCCATCGGTCTAGGTGAGTCATCGCCAGCGCCCTCCGAACTGTCTGTGCGCTCTGTTTGCCGCCTCCATGCCGCCGCTCCAGTTGGCTGTGACCGAGTCGCAGCGGTCGTCACCTCTCTCTGCGTATGAGACCGAGAGTCTGCGAGCGCGAGAAACGGCCGACGAACGTCAGCGTGCTGCATCGGATGGCAG